TTGTGTGCACTTGTCTAAGTGTGGGTGATGCAGCTTAGAAAACAGGGCAATGGACCTAGACAGACTAGCTGGAACATCAATAACAAGCACCCACGACAGAGGTGAGAAGCACTCGAATATCTGCCTTCTCTATCTCTACTCACTGTTTGTCTGCCGTCGGCTCGCTGTTCTTTATCTTCCTCTCATCTCCCTCCTCCTCGCTGTCTTTTCTGCTCCTCTTCTTTCTCTCCTCCCTCCCCCCCGGCTGTCTCGAGAGGTCTGTTGGAGCGGTAGCAGTACAGCAGGAGCCATTAGTGCAGAGCCTGCTCTGATGGATAAGCCGGAGAAACCGGGGGAGACTGCTCTAATAATTGATGTGCATTGTGCAGACGCTGGACAAGGAAAAATGACAGATAGAAGAGCAGGGGAGGAGAAAGAGAGTGAGCAAAAGAAAAGGATAGAAAGAGTGAGCAGAGTAAGGGATATGTGCAGAGAGTGAGAGTGAGAAGGCACAGGCAGGAGGCTTGGAAGCAGCAAAAGCTTTGAGAGTTGCCACTGGCCTCTGCGGGAACAGGAACATTTGTGACACTTGAGTCTTTTCTCTGCACTATGAAGGGAATGAGATGAGATGTGCAGGGACTTTGCTTGGCTCTGGGTAAGTGTGTGCGTGTGTGTGTGTGTGTGTGTTTGTGTGGGAGTTTGGGAGGGGGCCAGGGAAAGCCCATTCACAAAAGCAGACATTCAACTGTAGCTGTTCTACAATAACCATCCCTTTAAGCATTTCCAGTCAAATAAGCCACAGCAAGCAGGTTTAAAATAAGCTTTGTCCTTTTCATTTCCAGTATACAGTACAATACTGCCCGACAACCCAGCGGCTGTCTGACCATTACGAAAAACCTGATAATCTAAAGCCAAACACTGTTTGATCACAGCTCTGGATTTACACTGCAGAGGTTGGTCTTGTTGTAACATACATTCCTCAGAAACTGGCCTGTTGCTACTCTACAATTCATATAATCACAGCAGCCACATGAGACGTCCCCGCGCTCGTCTCATGTGCAAACAGTAAAGTCCAAAAGGCTGCATCTAAACTAAGCCCTGGCCATATTTTAAGCCACGTTTACACGTACATCTGAATATATAACCGAGCAGAAAGGAAACACGATCCTATCAGACTCGGTGGTTTCCAACAACCAGACGCCTAAAAACATCACTTTCACTTCGTGGTCTCCCTGGGATTTTTTACTGTTGTGTTTTTAAACTAATTTACTGCCCTAGATACAATCAAAGCATTTCTTTTATCTAGGCGTGACTTTCAGCTCTACACTACCTCCTGTATGAGTCAATCAGTTTAGGAGCAGACATGTTGTTACGACCTACCCATCCGTCATTCTCCAGCAGCCACTCTCTCTTCTCCTCTCCCAGGTAATCAGCGATGGTCTCCGCCAGTGCACTGCATCTTCCAGGGTCCAGCCCCGGCTTTGAGTCCTTCTGCTCGAGCAGCTGTCTGGCCAGCACCCCAGTAAAGGTGAAAATGGAAACAACCCTCCCCCAGTTCAAGTGTCCGTCTCCCACCAGCTCCTCCATCACCTTCCTGAGGCTGGAGCAGGGGTCCGGCCCGCACTGCCTCAGGAAGGTCTGAGCCAGGGACTGAAAGCGAGCCTGGTGCTGCGTCTCCATGTCCTGGGCCATGCGCCTCATGGCAGCGGCTGACTCGCTGGGAGGTTGAGGGGCTGGCTGGGGGCTTGTGCAGCACAGGGACAGGTAGTCCTCTGCCAGAGCCAGGGTCTCTTTCCACAGCCCGCATGCCATTTTCTACAGAGGGGGGGAGAGAAAGGCAGTTCAGTTAAATGAAGGGAGTCATTGTACTGCTATAAAAGAACCACAAATATGGTTTGGTGACGTGAGGGGAACAAAGAGTAACCCATTTAGGGCACTTATTTTCATTATCAATTAAAATATCTGTCAATTACGTACTACTGTGAACAATCATTTAGATTTTTAGAGCCAAAGCTCATCTTCAAATACCTTCTTTAGTCACACCAGCAGTTAAAAAAACTAATATATTTGATCTAAAATGTTTTTTTTATTATTTATTAATTAATTTCCAACTCTTTCAGCTTTATACCAATTACCTGTTTCTTACAATCAGCACATAATGTAATTAACTACATTACCCAGAAGCCTAATTCCCAGTATAACCTACAGCAGTCCCGTTATTCTTATATTAACACACTGCTCAATTTCAGGTTTTTTTAATCTTGTAAAACAATGAGAGAGTAATATTTCTAATCTATCAGAAATTAAAAGCCAACTATAATAAAGTGTTGTAGGCTAACGCAGCGCTAGCAATGGCGTTATGAAAGACACAGCTCAGTTACTGCTGGAAGAAACACAACAGCCAATGTTCACTTTAAAACAAAGCCAAACAAACCTACATATCTAACAGTGTTGTGGCAGAGTTGCACAGCGTTAATTCCCCGGTAGTTTAAGCGGTTTACCGGGTGTACTGGCAGCGGGGTCGAGCCGGCTCACAGCCCGCTGATCTGTCACCAGAGCAATGGAGGACACAAAGAAACACTCACAGGCTACAGGCAGCTAGCTCCTCTACCACACACACATTAACACGGCCCTTTACACCCACACACACACACCTCTGTGCGGCAAGAGCTTCACATTGTATAAAGGCACACATATAGAAATAGATACAAACGCATTTTCTTTCCTCTCCTGTGCGTGTAAGGAATAAAAGCTTACCCTCCCAGCGATATCAGACTGCTCTCTGCACATACGGACAGCGGAAGGAGGACCTCGTTACTCTCAGCCTCCACTGGCTGCTGCTGCTGCACATTTATCATCTGACTCCTCCTCCACCGCTTCAGTTCAGAAAGCCCCTCAAACACCGTCATGGACTGACACCTCACCACTGGAAACACCAGAAGCAAATGAAGCCTTATCTTCGTCACTGGAAGTTGGAAAGTAATAAAGTATAAATAATGCAGAAAAAACCAATAGAGGATGTAATAAATCAATTTATAGAGCTGAATGTATTTGTTCGATCGAGTTTTTGGAGAGCCAAAGTGTGTGTGTTTGTTTCTATGAGTGGCAGTAGCTGAAACTGTTTTAAATAATTGTATTATTTTTAATAATTAATTGAAAGAAAATAAATGTACAACAATTTTAACAATATATGAATTGTTTAAATTCATCTATTAAGCAATATAAACAAATAAATAAATAAAAAATACACTGCTTCCAGCCTCTCAAATGTGAATATTGGACATAATAATCAGCTGATGAATCAATAACTAGCTGCAGCCCTAGTAGGGGATAGGATCAGTTTAAGTACTTTGAGCCAGAGATGAAGCAACCATTATCATTATCTCTGAAAGGTTGCTCACACAGCTTTGTAAACAGATGTTTTTATAGAAATATGATTTTGAAGCTGTGGCTCTCAGGGGACCCACAGTGGCCACAGACGATGTAATGCAAAGATTCTGGCTGACAGCAAACGTAGTGAAGAGCTTTCTCACACTCAGCCCATTGTAGTAAATTCATTCATTCAGTCATCTGTGGGAGACTAAAAGATAAACTAAATATAGGCCCCTGTTGGTGAAGTCATGCAGGTTTCACCTCTCATAATAGAAGTTTGAGACTCGTGATTATGGGATTTGGTTTCAACACCAAACAGTCCAGAGACTCCTCTCACTCTCACACAGACAAATTTACCAGTTCACTGATCATTGCAAGGAAGTGAAACTGTGTGTATTCAAGTTAATCTCAGTCAAAGCGAATGTTTTAGGCAGCATGGTGCATCCGGTGCTATGTTTGGGTATTTTCTGTGCATGGTAATACCCCTCTGTCTTCTCCTCAATCAGTGCCATTTCTCCTCATTATCTCTCTTTATCTGGGTGATTCCCAGAGTTCCATAACCTTTAATTCAGGCTAGTGTAGTAGAAAGGCAATAGAGCTCACAGGAATAGGCTTTAAATGTTTTGTTTTTTTTTCAGTTCAACTTGGATGTTACATCATGAACATATCTGAAATATTTTACATTGAATGTAGTAAAGACTTACAATAAGACACAAGAGACAAAAAGGAAAATCAATAAGAGTACAAAGTATAATAGAGCAATCTGACCGATAAATGATCAAGAAGAAACAAGTGTACAAAAAAGGAAACAATAAAAAAATAAAAGAAGAAAAACAAGAAAAAAGAAGAAGAAAAAAAATCACATTTAGGGGAGGAGGTGACCACTGATTAAAAGTTATAGTAACCTTACGGTGACTGATGGCAACCTTATGCCGCGGAGTATATGTCTCTACTTAGTCTAAGGATAGTGTGATATGTGCCTTGACATAATCCAGAAAAGGTCCCC